GGAATTTCTGAAATTTTCGGTAAAAATCTAAAGGATTGTACCGAACTTTTTGAAATTCCCGATAAAAGCCTTATTTTTCATAAGATTTCTGGTAGTTCAATTTTATAAGATTTCTGGTAGTTCAATTTTATAAGATTTCCAGCGGTTATGATTTTGCTAACAGTTTTGTACGGTTATGATTGCACCGACCGTTTGGTGTGGTTGTTTAAATATGGGTCATTTGTTGTTGAGAAAAACATCTCAAAATGTCTTTTTCTCAATTTTTGATTAAGGTAGAAGTGTACTTCAACGGAGTTGCACCTCCTGTATGAAGGGAAATCGTGATCCAAAACGCAGTGGAAAATAATTTTTTTTACTTTAGTGTTCCTTACGAATGGTCACTATCAGTGATCAAATGGTTACCTCTTGTCATAATTAAACATTTGATTCTGAATCGAAGGAATGATCATGAGCGATGTATGATGAACAACGCCTCTACTCAGTCCACACAAACATATTCCTTCAGTCTTAGTGCTAGCTGCTACGATTGAAGGCTTTGAGTGAGAGAGATATGACCAAAGTTTCACCAACTGAATTGATCAAGTTTAAACAACTTCTACACAAGGGTTGTATTTATAGAACCACTTGCGTGGGCTGCAAGCTAAAACACCCAACTTAAATGCATCATATAATAATAATAATAATAATAATAATAATAATAATAATAATAATAATAATAATAATAATAATGTTTTGGACTGGGCCCAGGTTTGTCCAGACAGGCCCAGCCCAATTATATATGGGGAAGGCCCCAAACCAGCCTAACAGGACGACGTCGAGCACAGGACCTCTGTCGAACAGACACTGTCCTCGCCAAGCAGAGCACCTCAACCGTTAGGCAGAACAACATGTCCTCCATACGTTCTTCATGTGCCCTCTCCACGGGGGCACGTCATCAACCAACTACCCACCTCCGAAAGAGGTGGTCAACCCACCTTCCGGAGATCATGGGACAGTTGATCTAGGGCGAAGACCACGTCCTGGTCTTCACTACACCATGTAAGCCCTAGCAGTCACCTGGGTTGGGCCTGGCAATCCAGCCCAACACAAGTGACTGTTGGCCATGCGCTGGGGTCTCTCTATAAATACCCTCTTTCATAAGAGGGTCAGGTATTCTATTCTAAACCTTCTTTCTGTATTTGCCCTCACTCTGGTTCATTCTCTCACTTTGGCATCGGAGTGTCTTGCAAGTACACCCCCTCCTCTTCCACACCTCCGGTGAACAGGTGGTTGATCAACGGTGCGTGGCGGGCCACTGACTTCCTTCTGATCAGGTTAGATCAAATAATAATAATAATAATATTAACTCTTATTATTATATTATACGATGTTCCATATTTCACTTAAGTACACCGTATCTTACGGTGTTCCATAATTCTCTCAAGTACATTGTACCTTACAGTGTTCCTTATTTATTCTATCTCTTATCAATTTGTCCTTATGTGTGTGACCTTGTAGGTTCCCGTGACGTTGACAATTATATTAAATCATATATTTAATATAACAAACAATAAGCGATATCTAGCAACACATCACGGTTACCCAAGTCACAAAAATGTCACGTGATCGAACAAATTTTTTTGTGATAGTACTTGTGTGTACAATTACCCTTTTGCCTTTATGTCTATATTGAACACAAGGCATATGCCATGTATCCTTATCTAGTTCAATATTCGGTCCTTAGACATTTATCCTGTTATGCAGGATGCACAAATTTCATTTAGGTCACTCATGCCCCTCAGCATGCTTTGTGGAGTAACCATCAACTGTCTTTATGGTCATTCAGTTATGAACAATGTTAGATTAATAATAAAGTATTCGACTCTACATCTAGGGTCCATAGTGGTTTCAGGTCGAAGGGTGGTATACACCACTATCACCATGAGAGTAACTTATGACACTTTGCATAACATTCTATGTAGTACTCTCATAGCTGATCAATCTAGTATAAATATTACTCTTAATATTCATACCTATGTTAAGACTTGATAACTCCTTATCCATGATCCATGAGATGTGATCACCAGTCTATCTACATAATAGTCTTAATGCTTTAAGGTTATCCCACTTCATAGTAAAGCTCGACTACTAATACTTTAAAAATAATGTCCTTATGTTTAATGGGATCTCATGATTAAGTCACAATTAATATTTCATTAAACGAACTAGCTATTCTAGGGACTTTATTATTCTGTAAAAACAACCATAATAAAGAAATGTCTTTTATTTATAATAAGTAATTTGATACAAGTACTAAAAGTAAGGTTCTATGAATGAAAAAAATAATGATAAAGGGATCAAAAGTTATGTAATTTAGACATAGTGTAATTTAGACATAGTTATAGGGCGGATGTAGCCAAGTGGATCAAGGCAGTGGATTGTGAATCCACCATGCGCGGGTTCAATTCCCGTCGTTCGCCCGCCCCCGCCCTTCATCAAAAAAAAAAGAGAAAATGATTTATACTCCTGTTGCAGCTGCTGCTACGGCAGCTTCCGTGATTTACCCGAAGCTTTTGAGATGAGACATTCATAAACATAAACAACTCTACCAGAATTCTTTTGAGATGAGACATTCATAAACATAAACAAATCGTCGAGAACCCTTTCAATCAAGTAATTTAATGATTCAAGGGGTTCTCACAAACAACAAACATATTCGATTCTAATTTCAATTTTTTAAATGAATCTAACGGGAAAATATTTTTTTGTATCTTTTTGATTCATTTATTCACAAAAATCATCCATCAAAAATTAGATAGAATAGCTTCAACCTTGTCAACCGAAAATGAGAAAATGAAATCTGGATAAATACCAATACCTATTATGGGTATAAGGATAGAAATAGAAATAAATAATTCTCTGGGCCCAGAATCAAAAAAAGAAGAGTTTGATGTATTAAAATACTTGTATCCATAGAACATTTGCCGTAAGATAGATAATAAATAAATAGGAGTTAATATCATTCCAATTGCTGTTACAAAAGTAATTATTATTCATCATGAAAAGATATTTTTGACTAGTAATTATTCCAAAAAAAACTATCAATTCTGCAACAAAACCGCTCATGCCAGGAAATGCAAGAGAAGCCATTGATAAGATAGTGAAAATAGTGAATATTTTTGGCATTGGGATAGCCATTCCGCCCATTTCGTCAAGATAAAGAAGACGCAGTCTATCATAACTAGTTCCTGCCAAGAAAAAAAGGGCAGCGCCAATAAATCCATGAGATATTATTTGTAAAATGGCCCCGTTGAGACCAGTATCACTTATAGAACCAATTCCTATAATTATAAAACCCATATGAGATACGGAAGAATAAGTGATTCTTTTTTTTAGATTCCGTTGACCAAAAAAATTATAAAACCCATATGAGATACGGAAGAATAAGTGATTCTTTTTTTTAGATTCCGTTGACCAAAAAATGTTGCAGCGGCATAGATTATTTGAATACAACCTAATATCATTAACCAGGGGCAAAATATGGAATGAGCGTGGGAAAAAAATTCCATATTAATTCGAACCAACCCATATGCTCCCATTTTTAATAAGATTCCGGCTAAAAGCATACAAGTGTTGTAATGTGCCTCTCCGTGGGTATCTGGTAACCATGTATGTAAGGGTATAATCAGCGATTTGACAGCAAAAGCAATAAGAAATGTCGTATAGAATATTATTTCTAGTGCCACGGGATATGATTGATTAATTAATGTTTCAAAATTAAATGTTGGTTCATTAGAGCCATATAAACCAATACCCAGAATTCCCATTAATAAAAAAACAGAAGCTCCTGCAGTGTACAAAATAAACTTTGTAGCTGAATACAAACGTTTCTTTCTCCCCCACATGGATAAAAGTAGATAAACGGGAATTAATTCCAATTCCCACATGATGAAAAAAAGTAAAATGTCTCGAGAAGAAAATGGTCCTATTTGACCGCTATACATTGCTAACATCAGGAAATAAAATAATTGGTATTTTCGAGTAATCGGCTGAGCTGCTAAAGTGGCTAAAGTAGTTATCAATCCTGTCAGTAAAATAGGTCCTATAGAGAGTCCATCTATTCCTAATCTCCAGTAAAAATAAAAAAAATGGATCCATTTATAATTCTCCGTCAGTTGAATTAGTGGATCATCCAATTGGAAATGATAACAAAATGCATAGGACGATGAAACCCATAGGTTGACGCCACAAATTCCAACCCCAAAAACCATATTTTGATTGCGCATCAACTATATCAATTGTACTTAAACTGTTAGATAATCCTAGTCGGTGATAACATTCTTGTTCCCATCTCTATTACAGAACCGTACATGAGATTTTCACCTCATACGGCTCCTGGAAAGCCTTAAGTAAATCTAAGGACCGGGTCGATTATTTATCTCTTGATATATCCCTAAGATATAGAAGATTAAAATCTATCGAACGGTTCTGAATTAGACCAATTCAATTCTGTCTGTTCTAGAAATAAGGAAATAAGAAAGAGAAATCGATTTTCATAAAAGATCCAATTAAAGCACTTCTGAATTGATCTCATCCCTAAGAAAATACAAATTTGTTGAGTAATAACTGAATTCTTCAATAAAATACTCTTTTATAATTCTCAATAACCCTCATGATTTTGAATGACGAAAAATAATTACACATCCGTTTCTTAATTATGATGTGAATTTTATCTCCATGAATATGGATATAAGAAATCAAAAACGAAAGAGAAATCTATTTTTCGTTTTTGATTTCTTATTTTTTTTTCGTTCCTATTCTTCTTTTTTGTGCTATGAAATGAAAAAGGGACCTCCAAAAATTGGAAAGGATTTTTTCGTTCCTGATAGTAATTTATTTAGTGAGTGAATGGAAGCATACTCTGGATCGGAGTTGTGGGGAGTACTGCTTTCTTTTTTCTACCAACTTAAAGCCCCCAATTAGTATTCTTTTTATATTCTGCGTTGGGCGTTCCTATCGTAATGCATGACTACTTAACAGGTGGATTCACTGCAAATACTACCCTGTCTCACTATTGCCGCGATAATGGTCTACTTCTTCATATCCACCGTGCAATGCATGCAGTTATCGATAGACAAAAAAATCATGGTATGCACTTTCGTGTATTAGCTAAAGCCTTACGTTTGTCTGGTGGAGATCATATTCACGCTGGTACTGTAGTAGGTAAACTTGAAGGAGAAAGGGAGATTACTTTAGGTTTTGTTGATTTACTACGTGATGATTATATTGAAAAAGATCGAAGTCGCGGTATTTATTTCACTCAGGATTGGGTTTCTTTACCAGGTGTTATCCCTGTTGCTTCAGGGGGTATTCACGTTTGGCATATGCCTGCTCTGACCGAGATATTTGGAGATGATTCTGTACTCCAATTCGGTGGAGGAACTTTAGGACACCCTAGGGGAAATGCACCTGGTGCCGTAGCGAATCGAGTAGCTCTGGAAGCATGTGTACAAGCTCGGAATGAGGGACGTGATCTTGCTCGCGAGGGTAATGCAATTATCCGTCAAGCTTGCAAATGGAGTCCTGAATTAGCTGCTGCTTGTGAAGTCTGGAAGGAAATCAAATTTGAATTCCCAGCAATGGATACTTTGTAATCCAGTAATAATAATTCGTTCTATTAATTTCCATTAAACTCGGCCCAATCTTTTACTAAAAGGATTGAGCCGAATACTATACAGAATACTTGTTGTATCTATAAATGAATCCTATGGATCTTTCAGATTGATAGATTTTTTTCTAGTTCATTATTCTTTTTTGATTTGGAATATAATGAATTAAAATAGAAGTATTTTCTATTAATATTGACAACAGTGTATCAAACCAATATAATCCGATCGTGAATAAATGGATCGATTGACTCATGTCAGATAGGTTTTTTACTTCATCAAATGGTGGATTCGTTGTATTTTTTTTTCTTTCATTGTAATTTAATGTCATTCATTGTAATTTAATGTAATATGTAACATTTGATTCTATTATTTATAGAATTGCATCTTTTTTTATTGCGATTGGATATAGACATCCTTGTTTGTAATTGGATTAGGGTTGCTAACTCAATGGTAGAGTACTCGGCTTTTAAGTGCGACTCCATTTTTTACACATTTCTATGAACTAATTTCTTCGTTTCTAGGTAATAGCTTATTCGTTTCTAGGGCTTACACCAACACTATAGATTTTTGGTTTTCGGATGGCACCACATCTCTCGCCGCTTTGACATCTAAGTTGAATGAATTATTTCTTGATACCGATAACACAAATGTGAGAAAGATCGAGTTTCGTGAATATTGAATTGATAATGACAAAAACATGAAATACAATCTTATTGAGTTGAATACCAGTGAAAATGTGACGGTTATATGAAGATCATTTTGTCATAGGTTAACTAAACGGTCGAACAAGATAGATGCGAAGATTTTAAAATTTGTCGCTGACATAATTAAGATGTTGGAACATCTTATCTCAGAGTGAAATTTCTGATATCATTCTGAAGTTTTTGAAATTTGCTCAATTTCTAAATAAATTTTTTATAAATATTTAAAAATTTTACAAGATTAATATAATTAATTTATTATATTTATAAGGTATCATATTTAAATGGGATTACTAATTAAATGCTTGTGAGTTAAGATACTTCATTGACTAAAATGGTTACATTTTATTTAATGCATTAATTGTAATTCTAATTTTAAAATTTCTGATATTCCCATGGAGTTTATGAAATTTGCGCAAATTCTGAATAAATTTTTTATTAGTATTTGAAAATTACAAGATTAATATAGGTTAAATGCTTGTGAACAAGGACAATTCATTGACTAAAATTGTTACATTTTATATAATGCATTAATTGTAATTCCAATTTTGATTTGAATTTGAATTTTATAAATTATTTATCAATTTTATTGTAAAGTTTAAATTAATTAATAAATCTATGTTATCTCATAATTTTGTATGAGATGTAACAAGGGGATGAGACTTTGGCACAATGGGCAGCTTAAGTTTTTGAATAAGTCTATTCGTTTAAATAAACAAAATAAATAAATTACATTTGATGAATATTATATATATACTAACAGTTTCACAATCTGTTATCTTCAGAAAAGTAAGCATAAGTGCTTATTCAACTTATGCAGAGGATTACAGATTCGATAGTGCCACTCACATGCAACGTGCCAATTGTATATTGATTCGTCTCTATCTGAACAGTATCTACAAAAAAGTACATAAACACTTTGTGCTACAGTTGAATACTGTTGCTTTTTGACTCATTCAGACATTGGTGCTATTTATCTGGATAATGTAATTATCTAAAAATATAATAAAATAAGTTGGTCATTGTCATTTCTATAAAAAATAGAGTCAATTACTGAGTTATTTTTGTAACTAATAAACTGATTCACTAAAATAATAAAAATATTTTATATGCTCTACAGTTTTTGAAAATACTGTGGTGATTACGTGGCATGATGTGATAGGTGAACTGTAATTAATTTTGTCAAAGGTGTTATAAATTCTTGCCCTCTCTCCTAATAATAACACAAAGATTCCTTATTTTTTTTCTATCCACACTGTTTGTATTGCATGTAACAAACAAACTCATTCTTATCTTCCATGGCTTCAGATTCCAATTCAAATCTTAGAATCACCATTGAAAGAAATCCATCTCAGTCACGTTTGGCTGAATTGAACATCAAGTGCTGGCCCAAGTAAGCATTATAATCACTTTTTTTTTCTTTCTTTACATTTTGTATACATTAATCTAACAAAATAATTTCTCTCTTTTTTCTTTTTGTAATGGGGGGTGTGAAAATAAAAAGATGGGGTTGTTCACCAGGAAAGTATCAGTTAAAATTTGATGCAGAAGAAACATGCTATTTATTGAAAGGAAAAGTGAAGGCATACACAAAAGGTTCATCAGATTTGGTAGAATTTGGAGCTGGAGATTTAGTGACAATTCCTAAAGGACTGAGTTGTACTTGGGATGTTTCTGTTGCTGTTGACAAGTACTACAAGTTTGAATCATCTTCTTATAGTTCTTCTTCATCTTTACCATCTTGTTAATTATTAGTAGTTGTAGTAAGTGCTTATGTTGTATTGAAATTAATATTAGTTTTATAGTGTTTTGATTCAATTTTTGTGGTTGATGATGCTTCTGACATTATATTTATTATAGTCAAAGATAGAGTCAAATGCATGTTATGTTCAAACCATACGTGTTATGTTAGAACTTAAAACGCCGCTTTTATTATTCCTTTGACTGGTCAACGATATGGATATAGTATGTATTTAATGTTTTTATCATCATTCAATTCAATGATATTAAATTATTGATGTTGGGTCACCTAGCTCACTTAGAGCATCCACACTCATCAACCACATTTTGGTTCTTTAAACAGGACCCACATAATTTTTTATATTATATTACACTTCTATATTTTCTAAACAACTCAATTACATATTTCAAATATCCATACAACTCATTAAAAACTCTAAAATGGGTTCTACCAATTTCCAAAATAAATGTCCATATAATTATTGACCTTTGAAATATAATATTTTAATATTAATTAAATAGGAAACTACAGGAAAGAAACGTTCTCAAATGTGAGAACGTATGCTAATGTAGGAACGTTTTTTTTTCTTAAATATCCATTTAATTCTGACATGATGACTTTGAAATATGTGTAGAAATGGTTTACATCCACCGATAATTATGCTCTTAGTGATGTAAATGGATATCTAGGATATATCATCCGGGTACCCGTTATGCAAATAATTTGTGAGTTTTACGATATATATGAATATTTATAAATAATTTCTTTTATAATTTTTTTTTCAAATAAAATATTTTTAGTTTTTTTCAAAAACACAAAAAGTTATTATTATATATAGGAGTAAGAATAGGTCAGACCAACTAACAGGGGTCTACGACCAAACTTACATAGGCTCAGGTCATGTCAGACTTTTCCTTAAATAGAAAAGACCTAGATTTTTTTATAAGCCTATTTAACTAAAGAGGTCGTAAGAAAAACCTTTTAAACTTATTAGGCCGGTCTATTTATAAAAAAAATCAATAAATTTACTATTATTATATTGTATTTTGTACTTTGAATTAAAATACGAAAATAAACCTTAGATATTTTGAAAATTTATGAAAATAAGTTGAAAAAACATTATAAACAATGTCATAAGTTGTTGTCATAAGTTTTTTTTTCCATAAGTTTTCTCCAACAAATAGTATCGTCAAACTTATGCTAATAAGTAAACTTGAATGAGACAATGAAAACAAACATTTAGTTTCAATGATCTTTTAATTTGTTAGTCTATTTAACATTAGTTGAATTTTTTATTTACAAATGTTCAAATGAAGTAAGCTTTTAAGTAGGCTAGTAGGTCAATCAGGCATTCGAAAAGGTCAGGCTTAGGCCTAAAAATAAGCATGTGATAGGCTATAGACCAGACTTAGACTTTAAAATTTTTAGCAGGTCAGGCTCAGGCTTAGCAAAGCCTAGTTCGGTCCAGCCTATTTCCACCCCTAATCACATAACATGCATACAATTAATTCTTAATTTAATAATAAAATTTTATCATATTAATTTTGTTCTTATTCCCCAAAATATAATTAGATCCAAACATAATATCCATTCATTTCATTTTTAACCAAACAAATAAAAAATATTGTGATTGTGAGTTATGATGGAAGAGCTGACGACAGAGTCACAGAGGAGTGGGAAAGGAGACATTGGTTCGACAGATGAGTAGGAAATGAGACATTGGTTCGACAGAGGGTAGGAAAGGAGATATTGGTTCGACAGAGGAATGACGACACAAGTTAGTTGGACTATGAAATTGTTTAAGCGAGGTATGAAGTATTGAAGAGTTTAAATATGAAATGACTAATAGAATTTGAATGATATGTGAAATATTTTCTTAAAAGAAAATTTATATATATATATATATATATATATATATATATATATATATATATATATATATATATATATATATATATATATATATATATATATATATATATATATATATATATATATATATATATATATATATATATATATATATATATATATATATATATATATATATATATATATATATATATATATATATATATATATAATTTTTTTTAGAAGATGAGAAGATAAAGTATAATAAACTAATAATATTTAAATAATTTTTATAATTTATTAACAGATATGGATATCCGCGGGCACATGATCATTAAACCTGTATCCATATCCATTAACAAATGGATGTTTAAATATCCATTTATTTTATTCATGAATATCCATTTATTTTATCCATGAATATCCATTAAACTACCCGTCCCATATACGTGACAGATTTTATCCGCATATATCCGCGAGTACGGATATTTTTGCCATCTCTAAGCTCACTTGGAGAATTTGTTTTGTACAGGGAATGGAAATGATTGTCCATTTCTTGTAGTTAACTTATGTTTGTAAATCTTAAGTAATTTTTATAGTTTGGAAGTGACATTCACTTCTATCAATTAATCTTAAAAGAACATTTGTATTTAATTTAGACATTGGAAGACCCACACAATTAATGAATTTTGTTATTATATTGAGAAATATATTTTTAGTCCCAAAAAAATATATGTAAACATTCAGTTTTAGTTTTTATAAAATATTTTTTTTTAATAATGATCTTCACATCTTTTTCGTCTCTAAATATGATCTCTCATGTTAGCTTTTCACTAACGGAAGACGATGTGTCATGCCAAATGTGAATTTTTTTTGCTTACGTGTGAATTGTAATTTCTAATTCGTCACAATGAAATAGTTGATAATGTTATCTTGTTAACTACAAGTGAAATAATGATAAACGACCCAAACATTTCACATGAGTGATGTGCCCTAGAACAAGTCTTCGTTGTGGCTAAGGAGCTTCGTTATGGTCAAGGAACAAGACTTCGGTGTGGTCAAGGAATAAGTCTTCTTTGTAGTGGTCCCAAAACAACTTTGTAATCGTCATTGCAGTGGTCCCAAAAACAATTTCGTAATCCTCATTGCAGTGGTCTCAGGTAAAGTAATTTGTCGCTGCTTTGTTCCCTCGGTTCTTATGCATTGTCATCTTCATTGTTTTCTCATACTTAGTCGCATTCAGTGGTCCTAGTTGATTTACTATGTTGCATATTATTACCATTCATGTAAAATTTAAATTTTTGGTAAATTTGTTTGACCTAATTTTGGTATAGTTGTCAGAACTAATTTTGGTAAATCTGTTTGACCTAGTTATGGGAAATTTTAAACCTAAGTGAAATTTTTGAACAGGAAAATGGATAAATTTAAGGTTGTGTTTTACTCAAAGAGTTGTTTTGTAAAAGACCCTAACATAAGATATGAAGGTGGGGAAGTATATGTTTTTACTAGTCAAGATCCCGATTACTGGTCTTTTTTTGAAGTCTGTGACTTAGTTAAAGTGATTGACCCTGAGTTTGATTTAAGTTGCGTTAAGATGTGGTGGATGCCTGTGACTTAGTTAAAGTGAATGGTCCTTTGAACAAGACTTAAAACCATTTAGGGATGATGTAGATGCTTTTGAGTTAGCTATGTATGTTGTTGGTAATAATTGTGAAGTTGAGATATTCTCGCCTAAAGTTATAGGAGTGGATACTTTTATGGATAGGTTTAGAAAGAAAGGAAAGGGGGAGAAATGTGATGAAGATGATTACAGATTAAGTGATTCCAATGATGAATCTACGAGGGGTGTCCATTTTGATGATAATGTGGAGGAAAGAATGAAAGGGTTTAATAAAGGTCTTGATGAAGTGTTTGATGAGGGGCTTGATGGAGAACCTATAATTGAACATGTGCTAATAATGAGGACCCAAGTCAACCAAATAAGAATATTTTTATTACAGAAGAAATGGGTAAGGAACATGTCATTGAAGATTCATACATGATTGATAAACTGGACATTGGAGGTGATGATGAAAGTTGTGATGAAAGGCCATGTGTAATCAGGTTCAATGTAGAAGATTATCTAAATAAGGATTTTTGTTTTCAAGGTTGGAGTAAAGTTTTCTTCATTGAAGTTGTTCAAAGATGCTATATTAGAGCGTAATGTTTTGAATGGTAGGGATGTTAGGTTTGAGAAAAATGGTACTAACAGATGTAGGGTGCTCTGTAAGGACAAGACAAAATGTAGAGTTTTATCATCCACTACATTTAGGATAAAAACATTGTTTGCAAAACACAAATGTGGAAGACGAATCTTCAACAAAAGTGCTAAAGTAAAATGGGTTTCCAAGGTAATTGTTGATGGTTAAATAATGACTCAAAGGTGAAGTTAAGTGAGGTTGTAGTCGATGTTAGACACATGTATGCCATAGAAATCCCAAGTTGTAGAGCTTTCAGAGCAAGACAGATTGTAAGACACATAGTTGAAGGAGACTCTAGAAAACAGTTTAGCTCACTATGGTCTTATGGTGCTGAGTTGGGAAGGGCTCCAGCTGGTAATACTTTCAAAATCAACACTAGTGTTACAACTCTTAGTCTGAAACCTAGATTTGAGAGGTGTTATATGTGTTTTGATGGGACCAATAAATCTTTGACAAAAGCATGCAGACCATTCATTGGCTTAGATGGATGCCATTTGAAGCACAAGTATGGTCGTATTTTATTGATTACTATTGGAAGAGACCCTAATAACCAATATTTGCCTATTGTTTTTGTTGTGGTTGAGACTAAAACAAAATATTCATGGAGTTGGTTTATTAAATTGCTTCTTAAAGACATTGGAGATAGCAGATGGTGTTTCACATCTGACTAGCAAAAAGTAATTTTGAATCTCATTAAACATTATATTAATGCACTTGTTATTTCCTAGTGCACTTGTTTATACTAATGCATTTGTCATTGTAATATCCCATATTTCCTTAAATGCTCAATTGGGTTTCAGTTGAGATCAATTGAGTTCCTACGTACTCTATCTTTTGTTGATTGGAATAATTGGAACTCCTTAGTACTCTAAATGTTATCAGTGGAACCAATAGAGTAACTAGTCAACTCTGAAGA